TTTGCTTAAATACTATAAAGTCTCCATAGCTGCTTTTGAACTGGAAGAGCAGGGGAAATAAATGCTCCTGCAAGTCAAGGTTACTCTCAAATTAGTTCTCACCAGTTCATATAATATATATCACCAGTTCATATAATTGGGGATTGAAAGGAGGAAGGAGAGTTACCAATGCCGGAAAGTTCAAAGGTCATGTTTTACTTCCATAGAATTATGGAATTATTGATTCCAGCAGCTAGCTACGTGAAGCAATCAACACGGATTTAGGATATTCCACTGGTGGACCTTCATTCAAAAATAATGCCAATGCATGAGAAAACGACTCTGTAGGATTGTTACATACGATGGCATACTAATTACATCATGTGTTCAATTGGGTTATAAGATCCTAAAAATAAACATTTGCTTGCTGACCAATGCCTGGGGAAAAAAAAAGTCTAAAATGAACCGTCTTTACTTAACTGTCTAAAACTAATTGCCTATAACCTTTGAGAAAATTTGCCATCTCTCGTTTTCCTTCAGGCTATGTAAATCAAGCCACAGCACTGTGCTTGTCTACCACCCAGTATCCGGTTCAATGGCCAAACACAAAGTTAAAAATCCTCCTGAGGTTTCAAACCCCAAACACATCAGATCCAGTGTAGAGGGCAAAACTGACCAATAGATATATGCTCAGAGATCCTTTTCAGCACTGGATGGGAGATCTTGGTAAGGCCTTCAGAATGCAAAGCACATTGTCTGCACCAACCTTAGCACAGCAGACGCAAAGGGGGCAGGGGCAGACAGCTGGGATAAGTCCTACAGTACAACAGAACCAAGATGGTGTAAGCAATTCTAAATCAGCAACATTAAACAGAAAATGTGTTTTGCACTTGTGTGTAACAGAAAGCATTAAGGACAGTGTGTTTTAATACCAAATACATTTTTCTGTGTGTGGGATTAATGCTCCCCAGCCATAACATACTTTCAGCATTATATAAGATTGGCATATGTACTTTTCCCTTGGCAGAGCAGGCAGAATGCTGTCCAAAGGAAAGGGTGGAGCTCTCAGATATGGGTGCACAGCACAGTGACTTGCTGCTGACAAGCCGTGTCCATCCATCCATCTTTCGTATCTCCATGACATTTTGTGTAAAACTCAGCAGCATATTACACTGGGAGCTCCTGCTGTGAATGAGTTGTCCTGGTAACAAATCCCTCCCAGTGAGCACTCGGGTTCCCACTACATTACAAGGACACCTACTTCCCCCCTAACCAAACGTGCATGCAGCAGCAGATCACTACCATTATGCCTGACTGTATGGGACTGATATAGTAAAGCAGGGGCATTGCCATGGGAAAGTACAGATGGCAAATGGAATTGGCTCCCCAACAAGAACCGCAGCCAAACCCACAACTTCATCACAGCAGGAGCTGTGCAAATGCAGGGCATGAGATGGGTGAGTATCCAGATGCTCAAGTTTATCTAAGACTAAGAGGCATGTACAGGACACAAAACCAGTACTGACCAGCTTGACATGGCTCCAAGACAAAATGAGCTTTCCCAGTCATAAGATATTTTTATTTTGAATCCCCCAGAGGATGTTGCTAATACTACCTAGGTGTCTGTACTTCACACCTTCAGTGAAGTTTCTTCAAAGCTTTCCTAGCTTCTTCCTACACAAATACAACCCAAGTTAAGAAATCCCACGTTGCTGCACGTTACCCATCCTTGTGGACAGATGATCTTCTAGATGTAGGCCTTAACTCTGACTAGGGTTTTGTTCCTGAAATGCACTACCACTTGGATGTTTTTATAATAGCCAGACAGAACATCGAGTGATGATACTGCCATCTAGCAGTGAACACATACTTTGAATTATTTTTCTCCATGAGATGTTAGCGGAAGCACAAATGGGAAAAACTTGAGGTATTACACAACAGACTACCACATCCTGAGTGTATGAAGGTAATTAACATTCAGACAACTTCTATGTAATTTCATTAAAGGAAAAGGTTATCAGCTTTAACTTATCTCAGAGTTCTTCAAGATCAATCACTTCAGCATTACAATTCATCTGGGCACTTCATCTTTCTTCTCAGTGTTATCCTTGCATTTTTCTCCTCCAAATGCAAATAGTACCAATCCACACCAAAGCTTTGGATGGGACATGTGCTTCACACTGAAAGATCCCACCAATTTTTAAGTTGTACAAACAGAAATTTAATGTTGAGTTGGCCTCCAGTGAATTTGTTTCACTTAGGATGGCATAAGATAAATCCTAACATCATTTGCCCATGCTAAAACAACCACAATTCTACCAAAAAGCTCCAAATCTTTAAGCAGGGTAGAGGAACCTCACGTGATCGTGTATGTGCAGAAGGTAAATATTTCTACATGACTTGTTTAAACTCCCTTTGTAGTCTAGGGCAAAGTCTATCTCAATCAGGTATCGCTCCCCTTCATTCTCCTGTCATGTTAAAATTGTTGTTAAAAAAATTGTTTTAGCCAAAACACAAACATCTGGAAGTGTTCAGTTAGCTTGCACAGGCTCAAAGACTTCTCAGATTTGAGCACACGAGTCCATGGATTTTATCTTGATGAATCCTCACCCACTGCCCCAGGGGAGCTTACTGGATTGCACATTAGTTGCTCCCAGTCCAAAGATACAAGGACTGGGCAGGACTTACTATTCCTATATATATTCTGGTACAGAAGCATCAACAGCTTTCAATCTCTGCAGTACACAGGCCATTGAACCCAGGTACCAAGCTCTAGTTTGGGATCCCAAATCCCACTGTAGATTTAGCTATGATTGAGCACAGGACCAAGGCAAAGCAAACCATAAATATAACTGGACTGCCGCCAGCAGTAATGTTTCATATAGTTTTCTCTAGCATGTAGCAGGGAACATTATAAAAATGCCAAGGACAAAGATGCGTAAGTATTTTACGCATTTTCAGAAAAACCCAAATCCATGGAAGATGCAGTCCCTTAGAACAGGGCAAAGGAAGTCTACTTTGGTATGTGCCTATATACAAGTGATATACTCAAGGCTTATTAGCCAAACTAAACTGACAAAGTTTTGCAGTCTTTAAACTCTATTTAAAAAGGCATATTCATACAAGTTACACTATTTAGAAGCCTTTAGTGATCCAATGAGATCTGCAACCAAGGCTCTTACCTGCAACAGAATTTAGTTTCTATTATATGCAAAACAAAACAGAATTGGTAATCATACACTTGTTGATACCAACTGTAACTTGTTACCAATTTACCCAATGTGTACCTCTACTTGCAACATGATTGACATGCATGAAAGTGTCATGAAGTTGCATTTAACACCGTTACTGTGAAGCTGCAGACCAGAGTTAAGGTACATAAGTTAAGCGATAAACATGCTTCTTGCTTTTAACCAGTCTTGGAACATGTAAGAAAACTTGAAAGGCTACAACAAAAACCTCTCAGAAATCAGCTCACCCAAATCTAGCTACTGGGATGTTGTCCAAGAGTGTCATTGCAAAAAAATAGCAAAGCACCACATAAGATAAACCTTTAGTGAGAGCTGCAGTAAAGTGAATACACTTGCTGAGCCCAGCATCTAGATGCCTGCCTCTTCACTACACAAATAGCTGGGGATAAGAAGTAAAAGGGGCTACAAGCGATAATGAAAATTTAAGTTCAAGAGCCTAAGAGGTAGACATGCATTCCAGCCTCCTCACTTGTACAGGTGCCCAGCCCCACACTGTCACTATACTCATGCCCTACTCACCAGTGTAACGGTGCAAATCCTTGAGCCCACTTAAAAGCTGCTCTTTGCAGAAAATGCAAGACATCCAAAACTTGCAGGAGAGAGGTGATATTAAACCTGTTCCAATCCTGCCTCATTTCCAAAAATGGAAAACTGACAAATGAGTTCTGTACCTTACCACTGTCAGTGAGACCAAGACACTGGACAAGTCACAGTTAAGCACTGCCTTCTTTGAGCAGTGATCTGAAAAATTTGGCTACCCTGACTGCCAAGAACTCCTGCACACTTGCAAGTGCATGGCAATCCTACTAACACAAAAGTAATTCCACCCACTATTTACTTCAAAATAGAGGGAAGGAAAATACACCTAGTGCCAAGTTAGTCTCCTGAAAAAAAACCACAAACAACGTATTTAAAGAATTCCTGCAACATCTCAGAAGATTTGGGTAACAATTAAGGCAGTTCTCCTCACTTATTTCAGTAGAGGGAGCCAAATTTTCATCACAGATGCAGCAGTACTTCAGACTTCCCCACACACACTAGTCTGGAACCCAAGCAGAAGCAGAGGCATAAGCACTGTCAGACCACGTGCACGCAGAGATCACAATCATCTGTCAGCACTTACGCAAATCACAAGGTGCGTCAAGTTCCCTAACCTTTATGTTATGAATATTAAAGGCATCATCATGGAAGAGGAGTTGCAGGGATTCCCACCATCTTTTTACGAAGCAGTTAAAAATATTTAAGAACTATTCCAAGACCTTTAAGTCCTTAAATCTCATGTTATCCTTTACAATCCAAATAATTATTCCACAGACCCATTAAACTCACACATCAAACACACACACTCTTGTCAGGCTCAAAGTTTATTTTTCATTTCTTGCACTTGAAGTACTCTTCGATGACATCTTTGGCCTGAGATTCCTTGCCATAGTCCTGTAACACAGAACAACCCATTATTAACATACAGATCCACTCTAGAGTTTATATCTTACTTTTAAAAGGACAACAAGACAACTGATTCTCTGACAGTGTTTCTCAAGGCACTCTCCAAATACACCCTTCCAAAAAAGTAATCTCAAAAGAAATCAGATCTACCAGCTGCTTTCCCTTAGTTATTCAAGGACTATTCTACTTGATCTAAACATAACCATTAGTACAGATGCATGCAGACTTCTCATTTCTGCTTAATGAAAGCCAAAGAAAATCAGATTGTGAAACAGTAACAAGAAATATGTAAATACATGCATAAGTCATTACTGCTTATGGTGAAGATGTAGCCATCTCTTGGGACCTCAAAGACAACCAAGTCTTTAAGGCTCGTACTGTGGCTTTACTTTACCAGCATTATTTTAAAAATATGCTCTGCAAAACACTTTCAAGTTGAGCAGACATTATTAACTGGATTTTACTCTTAAGATTCTCTTCTGGTATGTTTTTCTTAGTTTTCCCCTTGGCAAGAGGTCACAAAAGCATCCTTATATTTACTGATCACTTGCAGAAGAAATAAGCAAGTATCATCTTACTTTAACCACCACACAGCTGCAGCCCACCACTTTGCGAGGCTTTCCTTCTCTGTCGATCTTGCAGAGTCCTACCCATTCGCCCAGCTTTTTGTTGTCATCAACCTGTGTAAAATATTGCATCACATTAGAACTGGCAATTTCTAACATAACTGGGTTCAACAGAAAAGCTGCTGTACTCTCAGAAGTATTGGGTAACGTATGGCTGCTTTCCTCATAAATATCAGTAGAGGGAGCCAAAGTCTCATCACTGTACAGCTCCTATGTTTTCTAATTTCAACACAAAGTCATGTTTTAAGACTCTTCCGACACTCCATCACCACTAACTGATTAATTCTGTATCTCAGTATACAGGACAAAAGCTCACTTCAACTTTATAAGATACATGATACACATCCTTAGCCATTTTTATGTCTGTGGTTTTAGCGTTGCTCACACAAGAACCACACAGAACTGAAAAGTCACTGCTCCTTTCAGGAATTGCTCAGATAAGCCATATACAGAACAGCAGTGTTTCAAGGTTCAGCTCTTTATACGAAAGAAGTAGCTTAGATTGCTAGCACAGTATCCGTTACAGACTTGTCTGAATTTTGGACACTCACCTTTATCAGGTTGATCTGGTGTTCTGCACAGAGTGCTTCAACTAGCTTCACGTACATGGGTTCATCACAATTTGAAGCCAGGACACAAAGATGGGCTTGGCGCCTGAAAAAAAAGGGAACAGACAAATATAACTTCCAATTCTTTAGTAATTAAAGCCATGACAAACAGAACTCAGCACATGCATTTGTAACGATTTTTAGTTTTGATATACTTCTTTTGAAATACTAAAAGTACTTTTGATATAATTTGTAGCACATATTTCTCAAACACAACACAGTACTTATGCATCGTTAGCTTTATTGTCAGATTCTATTCCGGTTTCAGAAGCTTCTAAAAACCCCACTAAGTTAAATCTAGATCACTGGAAAAAGATTTAATGAATGGAAAAACACTGGAGTCACAAACAACTACTGTCTTTATTAGAAAGCAACGAAGTTAGAAGTTGCTTTTTGCTCTTTACCTCATATTGCAATAATTTAACATTAGGATTATAATTATCAAGGAAAGAATCAATTGCTATGTCAAGTTGTTATAAGCTCTTCAGAACAATCTTTTCTACTTACGTCCAAAGAAGCTGTTATGACACGGCCCCAATTCTAATTAGGATCTTTGTATACTGCAGTACAATGTTAAGAATATCAAAGGGATACCTGACAACAAAGAGAGCTGTATAGGTCTTCTATGCTTAATTTAATTTGACCACAGCAAATAAATCCTATGTTCTCTACAGCCTTCTTCACAACAAGCTTCACCAGAATGTTTCAGAAACAGCTTCCAGGCAAGAACCATCACACACAAACACACTTAAACCTCGCACATACATCATCCCCTGAACTCACGTTACAAAAGTTTGCATCTTAAAAGAACTCTTACCAACTACTTTTCAGCCAGTAAGTTCCATTTCTCTCATTTAGTACCTTATCTTGGAGCTTTTCGCATACAGGTTTGTCAGTCCACTGTTATCACTCATAAGAGGAGTGAAGGGGTATCCGACAATTTGTGGAGTCATCACTCAAACACTGTAGCTTTACTTCAACATTAAGACTATTATTGGAAGTTTGTGCCTATGCAGATGCACAGCCTACTTCATGCTACCAGAAACTGTAACTGTATTCAACAATTGACATATGAATGACAGATTTAATATCATTTTGATATAGTCCCAAAGCAATTATTTACAGCTACGATGAATAAAGCGAAGCTAGAAAAAAATAAAGATCTTTTTTTAAGAACTAAATCAAGTTTTCCAGTGTAAGTCTGACATATGTATTAACCCTCCCAATTCAAATTTTTATCAATGTTGAGAAGATCACCATTTCCTAAAACACAAAGATACTAGGCCTCAGATTTCCATAGCTTCATACAGTCAATCCATTATCTTCACAGAATCAATCTACATTTAGATTTGATGGTCCTGGGAGAGCAGAAATACAGAACCTAGTAGATTAAGTGCTTCTTATCCTCAAGTCATTGAGTTTTATCTCATTATTTTAAGGTCATAGCTAAAGGCATTTAAAAAAAACACTACTAAAAAAGCACAGTTATGCCAAAACATTCAACTACAAAAATCTGGACTAAAAAAGCACTGTAATTATTTAGAACACTTCTTCAAAATATACCCTACCTATTTTTCCTATTTGCCACAGATGAGAGAGGAAATACTAGACACTTACTTGTCCAAGGCTTTAGCTGCTTCACGAATCCCACGAGCTAGGCCATCATGGATAAGTGCGGTCTTCAGCACTTCTTGGAGGGCGGTGTTAACGTCCATTACACCTCCAGCAGTAATGCTAAACAGAAGACAGACATTATTGCTCTGTCCATGCCAAAATCTTCACACCTTTAAGCAGAAGCTTCCCGTTCACCTGCAAGTATCCAACCATTAAAAAAATTACAGCAGAAGAGCAAACCGAAGAAGAACTAATTTAGAGTAAGGAAGTAAGAAATAGAAGCAGTTGGGATAAATTTCAAGAAACCCCAGCAACGTGCCAGCCAGCCTACACGCCCCTTACAAAGATGGGGGAAGCCATGCGCACAGCCCCCTGCCAGCCGGAGCTCACACCCAGCGCAGGAAGGCGGTGGCGGCAGCACACCGGGGCCCGCGTGTGCAGCAGCCCCAGCAGCCGGCCGAGGCAGAGCAGCGCGGCACAGGGCGCTCAGGCCCGGCGCGGCCTCCATCCCTCCCGCCCGCCACCCAGCCCCATCCCCATCCCCGCTCACCCTTCCTCGGCCATGGCCCTCTCGGTGGGTGCCGCTCCCGCCCGGCTTCCTGCTGCAAATACAGACACAAACCGGCGCCGTGAGTGCCGGCGGCCTCCCCGCAGCCCCCGCCCGGCGCCCCCCGCCCGCGATGCCCGGCCGGCCGCGGGGATGGAGCCCGGCAGGCCCCGCCGCCGCCAGCGCCGCGCTCACGCTCACCCGCCGCCGCCGACAGCCGCACGCCGAAGAGGGGGCGGGGCTTCCGCCTCGCGCTCTTATAGCGGCCGAGGACCCCGGCGCGCGCGCGGGCGGGGGCTGCCCGCGGCGGTGCCTGACGAAAAGTAACCAGAGGGTGGCGGGTGGCTGCGCTGCTCCCCGTGCCCTGGGCTGCCGAGCGCGGGGCTGTGAGAGCAGCGCTGCCCGCTCCTCACGCCGCCAGCCTCCAAGGCTTATGTGATCACCCCGAATTGTTGTTTCACTGACGGCTTGAAACTCTGAAACTCTCCGCTGCAGCTTTGAGACGTTCCCCTTTAGCAGCTCCTGGGGGCGTTTGGCTGTGCCCTCTCCCTTCCTTCCTCTGCCAGAAGTGGTGTTATCAGTGGGAACGTGTCGCTTCGTGTTGGCCAAACCCCAGAAAGCACGCAGACACACACAAATGATAATGCCCACCCTGTTTCCCTCTCCCCAGGGTGATGTTCTTCCCTATATCTACCCCTCAGTCCTCCTGCTCCCCTTAAACAGCCCCAGAAATTCTCAATCTAAAGAGGTTTTGTACTGAGTGCAACAATAAACCGATCCCTCCCTCAATGTCATCATAGACACAAAAAGTCTGCCAAAAGGCACGTTAGGATTGTTGGGTACATGCAATATATTTTCTCTCCACGAGATGGAAGTATGCACATCTGAAAGATTCCTGTTACAGCAAAGGTCGCGATCACAGGGAAATTACAGTCCCTGGAGGTCAAAGCTGTAAGAACGGTTTTCCTAGAACAGTTGCAAGGCAACAAACCTGTTGTGTTATCTATATGTAGAGGGGAGGTGCTCGTTGGCACTGAACTCTGTTGCAATGTTGGTATAGCACACTAGATATATGTATATAATAATTAAAGAAAATATATGATCCAGTTTGAAAGTCCACTCCACTGTACAGTGTGTTAATGTGAACTCAGCATTCATGTGGGCACAGCACACTGGTGGCACTCCACCTGCTCTACAATTCTGTCCATTTTCCTACAAGGAGTTTTGATGGTTTTACCCAGTTGGGCAGCCGAGCTCCACCACAAGCGCTCTCTCATTCCCACTCCTCAAAGGGAAAGGGACAGAAAATACGATGGAAAAGGACTCGATGGTAGAGATAAGGACAGGAAGGTCACTCAACAATTATCATCACAGGAAAACAGACTCAGCACAGGGAGATTACTATAATTTATTACCTGTTATTAACAAGTTACAGAAGTGAGAAACTAAAAAACAAAACAAAACAAAACAAAACAAAACAAAACAAAACAAACAACCAGCACCTTCCCCCTATCCACCCTCTTCCACCTCCTCCCCCCAAGCGACACAGGTCCCCCACGGGCTGCAGCTCCGGCCTGGGGCCTGCTCCTTGGGGGGCTCTCCATGGGCCGCAGCCTCCTCCAGGCCACATCCATCTGCTCCACCGGGGGCTCCTCCACCCATGGGGGGGCTGCAGCGTGGAGATCTGCTCCATGTGGGACCCATGGGCTGCAGGAGGACAGCCTGCTGCACCAGGGGCCTCTCCACAGGCCAGAGGGGAACTGCTGCTGCCTGCCTGCAGCACCTCCTGCTCTCCTGCTGCACTGACTGGGGGGCTGCAGAGCTGGTTCTTGCTCCTCACTCATAGCTGCTGCGTAACTGCAGTTTTTTGTTTGTTTGTTTTGCCTTTCTTAAATCTGCTCTCACAGAGGCACAAACAACGTTGCTTATTGGCTCTGCTCTGGCGAGTGGTGGGTCCCTTTGGAGCCATCTGGAACTGGCCCTTATCTAACACGGGCCGCTGCTGGATTCTTCTCAGAGAGGCCTCCCCTGCAGCCCCCCATCACCAAAACCTTGCCACGCAAAATGACTTCAGGAGGAGCATAAAAGTATGCACAAAGTGCTGTCACGTGATGTTGAAGAATTTGGGTTCTCACCAGCTAGCTGCTCAGGGCAACCCATTCCGACTCACCCTCACTGCTTGTATTTTAAAATTCTTTGCTTATAGCTGCTACCCTCCGTGTTTCCCATTCCATTCCTTGACACCTCTGGCTGTCCCCCTTTCCACAGCAGCAGCCTTCTTCTTTTTACCCTGTATGATCAAAATGGCAACTGAACCTGGAGGGGCTTTTTCAAAGGAGTGGTACTGCAGCGAGTATATAATTATTCACTGTGTCTCAGCTGTCCTCTTCCTGCTGCTTTTTCTTTCTCTGTTTCTCTCCTGGTCTCTTGCTTTGGTAGCCTCTAATCTCACCTTGTGCTCACCCTGGAAACCACAACCCATCTTTTCTTCAGAATGCCAGACTCTCATGATAGCTTAACTTAACTGCCAAGAACTGAGTAATGAGGGGTTCAGACAGTGCACAGGACAGTGAGGCAGCCAGGCACCCAAAGGGTCAGCTTTTGAAAACTCCCAAGAAAGGTCCACAACACCACCAAACTGAACAATCAGCTCTGAATTTCAACAATCTTTGCCGAACTTACTTCCTTATGAAGTCTGTTTCTAGAAATGCAAAGCACAGGCAGCACTATAATAAATTTCTAGTGTCACAAGACAAAATTATCTCATTCCAAAACATAATTTCTCAGTCTTGCGGAACATCAAGCTGGAAGCCTTCCTGTAAATAACATTAGCACATATTCTACCCTCTTCTTCCTAAATTATCTTATTTCCTGGTCACATGGTCCAGAAAAACATTCTGCATCGTAAAGGTTTTTGTAGAGGGCAAGTTACTTTTACCCATTTCTCACCCTATCTCCAGCCAAAGTCTTGCTCCCCAGCCCAGATGGGTGAGATGAGTATTTCCAAGCACCTCCAGGTAATAAATAGTTCAGAACAGCCAACCAAGCGCCACTACTCAAAAGTACAAAAGATGCATATATCAAGTTTTAAGTGCCTGTAGAAAGTATGGTGAGACAATTCTAGGGGTTCAGAAAGAGAACAAGCTATGGCATTTCAACTCCAATGGAAGAAAATTCTGTGGTATTGTGACAACCGAATAAGAAAAAGTTTGCTGTTTTTTTGTTGCCTTCCACAGATTCTGTGTTGGACTTTCAAAGGATGGGGCTATCACATGGTTACCTTACATCAATTGTGAACTTTCTAACTACCTACATGCGCCACTATGACTTCAGGAAAAAAATACAAATATGATGCAAATAAGCACTAAGTGATTTCTGGATTGTAAGGTCAAAGTGTTTCTAAGATATCTGCAAATATAGTGTAAAATAACATAAGATACATATTCCCAAATGTGCTAAGCATTTCAGAATATCCTGGATTTCCACACGGAAAAGTGTTCTTAAAGCAATTTTCTTAGTATGTTTTTATCTTGCAGAATTGGCAATGGAGGTAGACTCTATTTGTAGTATTGCTCCAAGGCTTGAATTCTACATATGATTTGAATCTGAAATATATTTTTAAAGTTGCTGCAGACATGACATAAACAAGGCTTGTGTGCTTTTAAAAAATAAGTCTTCTTCTAAGACTTGACAGGCTTTTGTGACAGGCTGGTAACAAGTATCTGTTCAAAGGCTAATAAATATTCATATCTGGTTTTGTAGTTTCCTTTTTTTAAAATACAGAATTAACAAGCTTTCTGCCAACCATTTTCTTCTTACAACAATGAGCACTGCATTAGTAAACTGTATGCATGCACTGAGAGTTCATAGCCCCATTTCATTATGTGAGCCATAGCTCGTGCTGATCACAGTACAACGCTGCTACATCCCATACTATGTCCTTCTGTTGCACACATGGACTTTGTGGAAATCTGATTCCACAGGCTTTACTGGATTATTCATTACTTGCATGTAATTATTAATGAGAGGAAGACAAGGTCTGGAAAGTAATTATACTGCTGAATGTGCATCTGCACTGAAAAGAGCAAGTAGTTAGAATGAAAACTATTTCACCGCCTGAACATAATTGGTTGTTTAGCCAAAAAATGAAAGGTTTTTCTCCACAGTTTTAATTTCTCTTTAGAAGTTTCTTTTATTACCTCTATTTATGCATCATGCTTTGCATACATGAATACTTTATTATTATCCTTTTGTTGAAATCAGGATCAATGTCAAGTATTCTTCCTTTTTGGGGAGGGTAAGGCTGTTCAAGGGGCAGCATCTGTGAAAATGATTTATTTTTATGGCTTTTTCTGGAGGCAGACAGGACAAGATCAAGGTAGTTCTCAGGGACTTTTTTTTAACTTCACAGCTGTAATATATGCCACAAAATATATCATCAAAATATGGCTCAACAAAGGAACTCATGGCTGTCGTTCTTTGGAACTGATAAATAGTTTTAAAATTTCCTAACCCTGTGATAAGAAAGCAATTCTTTTCTTCCTGTTGCTGTGTGGGGGATTCTGAAGTTACATAAATGGAAATATTTGCCCTGAAATACCCCATTACGCGTCTTAATATTATAAGTGGTGACTAGATGGAGTTCTGATGACATACTTAAAATAGTGCTTTTAAGAGTAATTACTGATTTTTCTCCTGAAGCAATACATGTTCTGCCTTTTATTATGGTTTGATAATAACTGCTCACTCTTGATCTCCTTCCTCATTCCCCCCCACCCGCCCACTTCCAATAGGAACTTGTGTCATTTGTGTTGCTTCTTCCTCAGCTCCAGCCTGATTTTACTCCCGGCCAGCTGACAGGTACTAAATGTTGTGACAATATCGCTGCTCAGCTCTCCTGTTACTCTGATACTGTTCCCGTACCTTGCTATAGGCTGTGCAGGGGATTAGCCACCTTGCTTGTTCCCCCACTCCGAAGCAGCAATGCCGATTGCCCTTTGTCATGGATTAATGCTTGTGCTTACAAGGCAAAGCAGCAGCCCTACAGTAGCTGCCAGTCACACCTGAAGAGTCTTAGAGAGCAAAGCTGGGCCACAGCGGTTGTGTTTTCAGGAACTGCAACCAGCTCAGTCAGCTGTAGCGAAGCACAGTCCCTGGAGCCCATCCATCCCTTACTGCCAGAGCTCCGCTTGGCTGCCCGGACAGGGAAAGGCCCTTTTGGGGCTGCACTGCTTGCTTCGCCAGGCCCAGCGCGCAATGCCCCCGAGACACCCATGCCATGTGCGGCCCCAGCTGGTCATCCCGGTGCCGGTTACACCCGCAGGCACCGCGGGGCGCTTGCACCAGGGCGCGCAGGAGGCGCCCCGCGGCCGGAGCATGCTCAGTGGCGGCGGCCGCCGGGGCCGCGGCTCTGTCCCGGCCTCGCCTTGCCCGAGCGACGGCGCCCGGCCGGTGGCCGCTGCCTGCCGGGGAGGCGGCGGGGGCTCGCCATGGGCAGCCGGGGCTCGGACGGCGCGGGGCCGCCAGGTGGGGGCGAGGGGCGCTGCGGGGGGGGTACGGGACGGGACGGGAGCAGGCAGCCCGAGCGGGGCTGCTGTGTGCCCTGCCGGCAGGTGCTGCCCCTCTGCCTGCCGTAGCGAGGGGGTCGGAATGGGGGTTGTGAGCAGGATTGTCAGCCCCGCTTTGCAAACTGTGCTGCCCTCTCGCCTCTTGTAACGCATCCGCATGCCATTTCGCGTTTTAAGAAGACAGCACGGCGGCAGCGCTGGGCGAGGAGTCGAGGAGGCTCACCAGAGAGCAGCTCTTCACCATGGTGGCAACAGCTTCTATAAACTTCAGTTCGATGATCTGCTATTCCATCCTGGGACCTTTTTTCCCTGCGGAGGTAAACAACTTAGCCTGCTATTCTTTAGATTTTTATTTTTTTTTTTTTTTGCATGCTGAAACTTCTTTTAAAAGGATTGTGGCCACCACGGGACCTTTATAGCTGTGGACAAGCAGAGTTTTACTCTTCAGTTATGGGAATTCGCAGTGGCAGCGTGATGCTGTCCAGAATAGCTCAGAGCGCATGTAACAGTGACCTGGATCCTGGCCATGGACTAATTTCATCGTCCCCATGACCGTAAAGGAGACAGCAGAGTAACGATACGAGAGGGTGTATTTGCTTGGTTTCACGTGTGCTCTGTCTTTCTGACAGGGCTTTGCTCAGCAGCCATTTCCTGCAGTCACCTCTGTGAGTGTAGCTTCTCTGCCCTCTCAGCTCTGAGAGTCGGGTCTCCTAGTTGACATCCAGCTCTTAGTATGGTAAATCACAAATCACTGTGGGTTATGCAGACAGGATAGATTAGAGATAGAAATTAAGTATTTTTTTTTGCCTAGTGTTGCATAACAGTTTGGTGGTAGAGTTGAGATTAAAACTTGAGCTGTGTCCTGACTTGCGTTTCAGTACCTTAATCGCTCAAGGACTTTTTATTCATATCACCTTCGTTGTTAACTCATGCTTGGCCATCATTCGCTGTGTTAAACTTACTGACCTGGTAGCTGCAGGAAAAAATACGGTCGCTGTTCATGTTGAGTGAATGCAATGCTTAAATATGGGATGAAAAAACCTGCCATTATGCCTTTGCAACAGAAGTTCATTTCTCTCATGGTGAAGTTGTTCCCTGTTATTACCAAAAATATGTTAACATTATTTTTGCTGTAAATATTCCAATGTACTGCGTGTACCTAAGTGTGCTGTACCAGCTGTCTAAGTCAAAAACTTGCCTGGCACTTTTTATCACAGAATATCACTACTAGGAAGGGACCCACAACGATCATTGAGTCCAACTCATGGCTGCACACAAGACCCTACAGAAATCAGACCTTATTGTCTGAGAGCATTGTCCAAGTGCTTTTTGAACTCTGTCAGGTTCAGTGCCGTGACCACTGCCCTGGGGAGCCTGTCCTAGTGCCCGACCACGCTCTGGGTGCAGAACCTTTCCCTAACCCCCAGCCTGACCCTCCCCTGTCCCAGCTCCATGCCGTTCCCTTGGGTCCTGTCGCTGTCCCCAGAGAGCAGAGCTCAGCGCCTGCCCCTCCGCTCCCCTCGTGAGGGAGCTGCAGGCCGCCATGAGGCCTCCCCTCAGCCTGCTTGGCTCGGGGCTGAGCAAACCAAGGGACCTCAGCTGCTCCTCATACGTCTTGCCCTCCAGACCCTTTAGATGAGGACAGCAAAGATGATGAAGGGTAGACACGATACAGTGAAGTTAACAGACTTCTGTGTTCACTGCTTTCACGTTGTGTGAGGGATCAAATCTTTGTAGGTAGCTCCACTGCACACCAGCCAGAGTGATCTGTATGAAGTCTGTTCACCTGGTCGGTAGTACAGCAAACCACAGAGTGTTTCCACTCGTTGCAGAATTAATGTTACTTTTCCTTTGATCACGTATAGCTTAAATAGAAGTGGAAGGTGTCTTTGAATTGTTGCGGTGTTACCCTGTGAGCACCTACTGCCTTTGAGAAAGAAAATTGGTTTGTAACTGCACTGATAGAGATAAAAAGAATGTGTGCAAAGCATGAATGTTATTCACCTGAGGAATTTGCCTCCATCTTTACTGGTTGTGATCTTTTTTTGCAGGCAGAAAAAAAAGGTGCCAGTAACACGATTGTTGGCCTGATTTTTGGATGTTTTGCTTTGGTCAATTTCTCGACTTCTTTAATCTTGGGAAATTATGTAAGTATAATTGCAGCTGTGACTTATTTCTGTGATGACACAGGTTGCTACATGAAGATAGTTCTCTAAGGGTGAGAAAAGAGGTGTCTATTCAGTAGTACTCTTGGAAGGTTGTCTGCAGTAATTGGAGTCTGGCCAGTCAGTCTGAATTTGACCTAGATCTTGTCAGCAAAATTTCAAAATTGCTCTTCTACAGTTTTTGAAGGCAATGTAGGATGGCTGACATGCAACTTTTTTTTTTCCTCTGGTTAACTGTTTTGTTTGCTTCAGAATAATCTGCTCATCAGTTCTCCTTCAATATACCTCTCTTACCCCCAGCCCACATTTTATTTATTGCACATATTTATATACTTTGTTTGATTTGACTGTGTTCTTAAGGTTTTCTTTTTCCTTTAGTCTGCTGCACCCTTCTTCTTTTCTGGTATGTTGCCTTTTTCTTAACATTTCCTCCTATTACGACTCTGCTGCTTAGCTCAGTTTCACCTTCCACTTCATCCAATCGCAACCTGAGATAGACATCTCCATTTTTTTCAGCTTCAATTTTTACGCAGATTCAGGATTTTTTTTCTGTCTGGAGCGATTATAGATAAATTATATAACAACTTCTTTGGCTGGGCAGTCTCCTTTCACCCCATGGTGAAAGGTTTGTTCCTGGTGATGAGGTGGCTCATCAAGGTGCCACACAAGTGCCATTGGTAAGTCCATTGTGGGTGCTTATGATGGCATTCAGCTATGGTACACCCTCACTGAGTACTTCACAAGAGAGAGAGCGAGTGAGATCCGTCCTCACTTGAAGGCAGGTGAAGTGAACAAGCCTTTATCAACAGAGGTGGACAGTCCAGCAGGCAGAAAACTTGAGTGTTTCAGTGAAACTTGGCAGAATTCAGGTTTCAGTAATAATGTCTGAAACACAGGGGACTCTGTTCAGGCCTGAACAAGAAAAAACGTCTGAAATACCTGCTTTCCTTAGGGGATGTTACAGCATGGAATTAGAACCTCAGGTGTACTTTGTTACTGGATTAAGTTAGTTTTATGGCATGCCTCTCATCATCTTTCACTCTCTAGTGATGGAGTCTGAAGTGGAGGAAGATGGGGCTGTTTTTCTGGCAATAAATGACGAGGCCTGAATTTACCATGTCCCCTATTCCAAAACTTCCTGCTATTAAAGGCCTCAATAAATTTGTTTTAAAATTGGCTTCCATAGGCTTGAGCCATATACGTGACAGGTATTGCTGACTTGGCACTGCTGACAGTACTGGAGGGGGAATGTATTACTTCTTCCTTGTAATGAGGAATGCTGCTGCAATCCACTGCCCTGAAGAAGCTGCAGCATGCAGCTGTGAAATAGTTAACTGCACCATTGTCTTACCATTCTGAAAACTGGGTTAAGTCACTTAACCAGTTAGAATATTTTTAGGTTCAGTGTTGCGCGAAGGCACACAGGCAGGAGAATTGTCTCCAGATCTTCTAGTTAGGCTATAAAATGCCAAAAATGTTTTGACTTCTTAACAATAGCTTTGAGGAATTTTTGAAATAGGCTTGAAATAATAACGTGGAAACAATATTTAATTTACAGCTTACGCAGATTGGTGCAAAATTCATGTTTGTAGCAGGGATGTTTGTTTCAGGATGTGTGACAATTCTGTTTGGGTGAGTAAAAAAATTTTTTTTTTTTTTTACATTTGTCTTCTAATTACTTTAATTCATATGAAAATATGTTTTCAAAACACAACTGGAAATATTTGAGCATCATTTAGGTTTTGCTTAGGTCACTTAGTTTTTTGCATCTTTACTTTTTATCTCTGCTTTGTACAGCGCAATGAACTCTTTTCCATTTCAGTAGGTTTCAAGGCTTGTTTTCCCCTTGAAAGCCAAGGGGAAAGTTTCTCTATATAAAAATAACTTCCACAGTTAATGAACTGTAAGAAATCTGTCAAAGTCTAGCAGTAAGGGAACTACTTAGTGTTTTAATTGTTGCTTTCTTAATAAAGCAGCACTGAACACAGATGACAAGATTCACCTGTCAGCCAGTGAGGCTAAGCCACTCATTTTAGCAAAATAAAAACTTTATTAAAAACTAAATGAGCTCTTATTAGGTAGCTGTAATTCAATACATCAGACTCCTTGCATAGTTGCTTGGAAAAGCGATGAAATACAACAGAAGGTGGTACTGGTGTTTTTCATGGCTTGGGAGGTCACTACCCTTTTTCATTCCCTTTTCCAACACCAAAGACGGGGTAAAGGAGAAGGCTGTCTGAAATGGTTTGATAGTTTGAATGACTTTAGTAATATGATTCAAAATGATGTAGCAATAGGCAGTATTGGGTGTCTTGTAACTGTGTTCTTTAGTAAGAAGTTATGTTTCAGATCCTTTAGTGGATGACTTCCTGCATCTGGAGAGGTCTGTATTAACTGTTTTTTTTCTTCACAGAATTCTGGACAAGGTGCCAAATGGTCCAATGTTCATTGGTTTTTGCTTTTTGGTAAGAGCGATGGATGCAATAGGTTTTGCAGCAGCAATGACAGCATCATTTTCAATCCTTGCAAAGGCATTTCCTAATAATATAGCTACTGTCATGGTAAGTTCCAAAAGCGATGTTACAGCTGAGTTCCCACAATACAATGAATTTGCTATAGGCAGCCTAAAACCAGGAGGATAAAATATGCTGTTTCCTATGCAAGCGTATTCGAAGTTGTCACGTGGTTTTTCTTCATAATCCAGAATTATAATCCTAAAACAAGTTTAGACCTTAGCATAACTTCAGCTGAATATAAATAATCAAAGCAGTGCATGCTGCATATGTTTTGAAGACGGCTGGCTGAATCAATGGTAGTAGTCATTGGTTGAAACCAGGCTATTAAAACACTACCTAGCTACATAGGTTATCTATCTAATACCCAGACTTCAAAATAAATATAATTCACACAAATGGTAGCACAGTAAAAATGATACATAAGTGAAAAGTGTGTTGTAATTAAGGTCTCCTTAGGAATACAATTTGAAATGTGACACAGCTGGTGGCTTGGTAGCTACCTTGATTCAAGACAAGATCAAGACAGAGTAATATCAAAAGACAGGTCACTTTAAATTGATAGTCCATTTGCCGTATTATATACCATGAAGTGTGTTCTACATGAGAATAAAACCTCTTCAGATTCATCTGTGTAGAATCCCTTTTCTTGAAGGGACATGTTGGAGAGTTCTAGGTATTGTGAGCTGTGTTTGTAGTGATTGCAGAGGCAGGAGTCAGAAGGAGAAGCTGATGAGTTGCAGCAAGTTGCATCCTATGGTAAAACCATGAAGTCTGAGTGAATGGATGAGGGATTTTATCCTCAGTTCCCACTGCCCTTCATGATAGTGCTGAAAAGTGAAGAGCACTTCTCCACACCTTACCATTTTGGTATTGTTTTTCAGCCCACCTTTTATCTATCCATACCCTAAAGAACATGTTGGAGAGTTACTAAATGCAGCCACATCAGCCATGTTGAAGTGGGAAATTCAGCAACTGTCAACGTCCTCCCTCGATGGGAGGGATACATATACTGGAGAACACAGACAGGATCACTTTATTAGAATATCAGGTGTACCTTGTCCTCCCCTTACCTGTAATAATGCAGTACCACAGCACCTCCTCCACTTGCATTAATTCATTAACTCAGAAGGGCTTAGATGGTGCATAGCCAGATTTGAACTGAAGTCTCACTGATCATAAATATTTTAGTTCTAGAACAACACAAGTAAAAGCATTATTTGGATGAAATTATGTTAATTTATGGGTACTCCATGTGTTGAAGCTTACCAAAATTTCTCAGATCTGTCCAGAAATGTTGAGGACTAGCTAGTTAACTGCTGTTATTACTTATTTCCTTTCCTGCTGGGAAAGGAATAGGCTGGGACCCTAGGCTAAAGAACTTGGCTGTTACTGACAGCACCCTCTGTAGGGGCATTTGTCCCGTCTGATTTGTGTCAGTAAAAGTAGATATTCAACATTAATGTGTAGATTAATCTCTATGCTATCTTTGTGAGTCCTGTAAGTTACCAAAACTTTACCTGTGAGCAGCTATTACCACCAGGTGTTACTTGTTAAAAGGGGGCAGTCCAAGCACTGATTAATCCCGTGTTGAGGCAGGTGGTGGTAACTGATGTTGTAACACAAAATTTAAATGTAGTTGCATTATTGTTCTTTTAAAGTCCGTATCTTATAAAAGATAACAGATTACTTTGACTATAATTTAATAATCTGAGTTTTCCCTGCAGCAGTTTCACTGTTATTTCCTGCCCCATAGTCAGCAAATCCAGCCAGTCAGTTGTGGAGAGGAACCTTTAACTTGATGCATTCATCTCATGAAATAATGACTCATCCGGGTAGGCTCGTTCAAGATCCACTCCACCACAAAGGCTGTGGGATCATCTCTCCTTTCCCACGTGCTGAGTGGGAGAGATGATGACTTCAGCCTGGGTTAGCCTACAGATGCTTCCCATCAGTAGAGCGTTTGTTTTACCTCAGGACTTGGACACATAGGTGATAGCTATGTGGCCAACCCTGCAGTGGGTTTGGGTACAGGTGGTTCACCTCAGTGAAGCAGAAGAGATAATTGCTGTCCCACAGAAAACTTTAAATTCTATTTGCTGTCCCACCTTTTAAAGTCTGCACTGGCTGTTATCTCCTGTAGCAATCAAGTGCCTCTCTCTTTTACTAGCCTGACCACGTTATATTGCTCCTCAGAGAAGTGGTTTGCTTTTTATTGTTACATTGGAATTTCTCAGCATACTGACTTCTGTTTTCTTTTTCATCCTTTAGGGTAGCCTTGAAATTTTTACAGGGCTTGGACTAGTGCTTGGCCCACCTTTAGGTGGCTTTTTATATCAATCCTTTGGTTACGAGGTCCCTTTCATTACGCTGGGATGTGTGGTATTGGTCTTAGTACCTATGAACATGTGCATGCTACCAAAATACGGTAAGCACCTTTCTTCCTGCCTCCTTTGTTTACCTTCATTTCTTGACTATAAGTAGTCTATATATACATGTGTATATATATAACACTCCTTTAGAAAATTGTCAGCTTCTGGAGTCTTATCCAACTCAAAGGGTTAAATTAACTTGTGATCCTGATCAGGCCCATGTTTTAATACTAAATAATGCATGCAGTTGACCTGGAATTAATCCAACATGTCATGTCTGTCTCTAAGATGGACAAACACTAAGAACTCTGGAAGTGAGCTGAGAGAGATTTTTGGTTTGTTTTATCTTCTCAGCTTCAGGGTCTGTGAAGCATCGGTTGTATCATCTGGTTGTTGTAGCTATTTGAAGATTGAGATTGGTTTTGCCTAGAACAAGAGAGTTTCACATGTTTGAGGGGTTAATGGTGTGTAGGGGGAACAATTGCAGGAAGAACAAAAGGGGGTTATTTGCACTGAATGATGCCTGATCAAATTAACATGAAAGAATGTTAAAATTAATAAGTGAGGTGTTTAACTGAAGTGCTGGAGTTCATACACCTTTGAATAGATTTTATGTGATCTTGTTTGGACAAAATGTTAACTTAAAGGTAAGTCTTCGCAGAGGATGGCAATTGAAAGGTTCCAATTCTGTTAGTCTTCTCTAGGAGAAACTTTAAAATAGATGTTTTTCTCCTCTTTTTTTTTTTCCATATAAAAGTCTTGGAGATTAACTTCATATATACCATCATTGACAGAAAATTTACGATGGTTAACCAGATGATGCTAATGCTTTCTTTTTTTTTTTTTTTTCTAAGTGCTGAAATTATGCAGAATAATGATGTTATTGGCCAGTTTGAAGCTGCATTAATAAATGTTAGCTCTGAGCTAGTAGATGCTAATAAATGAACATTAGTTTTATGTATAATACTCTTGAGATTACATTTGACTATTAAAGCACCAACAGCAGCAAGAAGAGAGCCTGATTTAGAAATGACATCTAACAGAGAGATCTGAAAGAAGCTTCCTGTCTAGAATACAGATGGAACATGTAGGCGACCTGAATGAGTAGTTGCTTAAAGAATGAGATTTGAATAAGTAGTTGCTTAAAAATTCAAACAGATCTCAACGTATAAATAACAATAGTTTTATTTTCAGGGTATGTTTCTCTTGCTGAATATGAATATTTCATCTATGAGGGATGTACTAAGAGATTTTATTCCCCCCCTTTTGTTTGTTTTAAAATGAAATGCGTCTATAAGATTTTCCTTTTAAAAGAGCTAGCAGAGAAATAACTGCGTTTTCACATACCTAGGAATAGTAAGTGCTTTTGTTCTAGTTGAGTGGGGATACATGCAATTGTTGGAATCTAAGTTGTGTATTTCTCTTGTATTCACTTATCAAATTTGGTTTTTAGAATATAAAACAAGCATAATAGTCGAATACTGACTTTCTTTTGTTTGTTAAATTGCAAGCTTAATAGGACTAGAAAAGAGGAAATGCTGATTTTATTTATTTCATTTGAAGCTTATGCCGCTGAAAAGAATGTGACTTTTTTCCCTCCTCCTTTTCTCCTGAAACAGATTCAACCCCTAGCAAGGAGTCCTTTTGGAAGCTCATTCTTCTGCCAAAAGTCTTACTTCTCTGTCTTACTATATTTTCTCTAAGTGCATGCTTGGGCTTTTTGGATCCCACAATGTCTCTGTTTATTCTAAAAAAGGTAAGTCTTGCTAACATGCAAGAAAGTCCTGACTTGCAGTGAATAAGTGGTAAAAATTATAGCTTAGTATCCCAAACAACATTGTCTTATCTAGCTGAAATGGTTTAATTAGCTATTAACTTAATTTGATTTTCACAGTGCTGATAAATCAGTTTCCATTTACGCCATTTGTTGCCACAGGGTCTCAGTAACTTTGAGTACATTTTGGGGCTTTTAAATATTTGCTTCTTCCTCTTTAATTGGCTTTCAACTGCAGAGATTATTCTCTGAATGGGCAATTTTTATAAACTAGGGACCTTTTCCTCCTTTCTGAAAGCAACTTGTGTAAAGTTGCAACAGTCATTGGCAGTGGTGTATCTCTTGATGGGGACCTAGGTTTTGGGGAGCATAGCATCACAGCCTGTCCTTCTCACAACAATGCCAAAGTGAAATTGGTTGCAACTATGTAGCCTGCTAGCTGGGTTCTTCAGCTCTCATTAGAGACAAGCTTTTTATTTGCTTTTAATTAATTTCAGTATTTGTATTTATTTATATATAATTTTATTTATCTTCCTAATACTGTTTAAGGTAATGAATTTCAAGTAAACGGTTTATGATTCTCTTCCTGCCTGAAATTAAGCAATGCTTATTGAGTGGTTTACTTATTAATTGTTTTTCTAGGGAATAGCATTTCACAGTTTGTAGTACTACTGCTATGTTTTCCGGGTCTAGTTCAGCACTAAGAGCACCCATCCAGGATGGGGAGGAGGCTTGGTTCTAACCTCTTGCACCCGGACAGACGTGAATGTATGTCTTCTGACACCCAGGCAGGATCTGTAATTATCCCACTGTAGAACAGTGTGCACTGGCATGGCTCGTTTGCTTTCTCTCTCCTCTGTGCTAGCAGATACTTGCTGTGAAATGACTGCAGCCTTCTTGGCAAGTGTTCTAACCACAAAATTAGAGTCGTTATTGTGTTCTTGCATATAGCAAGGAAATAGTGAATATTTATGTAGTCTGTGCCACATGAAACACCCTGGAATACCTTGTAACTGGTAGTTAAAACCCTAATTTGAGAGTCTAGCATGCATTTTATTCGTTATACATTTTGTTTCAATATAGAGATGTTGCTGCATTAGGAAAATGGAGGCCTCGGGGTATTTGCTAAAAGCCTCTTACTCAATCTCCTAAAAATCCTTCTTTGGTTGAAAAGCCATCGTTGTGTTTTGCAGCACTGCTTTCTTCTAAGGTGCCCTGATTAGCAGTGAATGACTGCAGTGTTTATGCTTTTCTAAATGAAAATAAAACTGAAGATTGGAAAGGTAAAGACTAAATCCGCCTAAACTTCAGTGTGTCAAGTGTCACCTTCAAATTTGGCAGCTATCAGTGTTAGAACCCAGTTGTGCTGGTGTAGGGACGTAGCATGGTGTTTGTGCCTTGGTCAGGCCTTATCTGAGTTCAGTCACGTGAGACTTTGCTGCTCCATGTACAGAAATGGAAGAAAGCTGGATCTCTGCTGATGACTTCAAATACTTGCAAACTGTGTGTGGTATCAATAAAATACATAAAATCATGCACAGATGGCAGTTATGTGTACTATAATTCTTTGCTTGCCCTTTAATGAATGTAACATACATGTGTTGTTGTGTTTTTTTCCTTCTCATAGTTCAAACTTCCAGCTGGTTATGTGGGCTTGGTATTCCTAGGTCTGGCACTCTCGTACTCCCTGTCTTCTCCCCTTCTCGGCCTCATAAGTGACAAACTGCCAGTGAGTACTATCCTGTGTAGTGGTAGTAGCGCACTCGGTACGTTTAGTTGGAACTGGAGGGCTTCCCATATGGAAGCAATGTTGGCCTGCTGCTGTAAGGGATTTGTGTTTCAGGATCTTGCATGTCTGCTAAATACTGCCAACTTAAAGGTCGTGTTTCCAGCCAATGTGGAACAGATAATGGGAAAGCATTTTACAGTTGCTCATGCTTTTGTCCGCACCTAATTTTATCTTCTCCTGAGAAGAGGAGCAAGATGCATCTAAAAGTGTCTGGGTGACAGCCACTGCTAATTATCAAGGAAAACCAGACTTGGAAGGTGTGCATGAACGGTGGTGCCAATTCTCTTGACTTTTTTTTTTTTTTGCCACCACCTGTCGGAAACTAATAATGGCCTTTGTATATGAGAATTGCATGCAGTGCTGTATTATATTTCTTATGCGAAGGAAGAGTAAGACCTGAAATATTTTGCTGACAGAGCAGCACCATTACTCAGTATCCTGAAATCTCCGTATTAAGCAGTGATTGCATTGGTGGTGATTGCAATGGTGGTCTCTAGAGGAGCAATACTTCTTGGATTATTAGGAAAGACAAAATTGTTGTGTTAAATATTCACATTTTTAAACTGCTTATCTCTTTCTTTTCTTTCACAGCACCTCAGGAAATGGCTGATGGTATCGGGAAGCTTAATAACAGCCCTGTGCTTTTTCATGTTAGGACCTGCTCCTGTGCTGCACATTGAAAGGTACAGAACTGCCTCTTCTTGAACCTGTCTCCGTAGGTGATGTCTTAGTGATGGGTGTCATGATTATAATCATATTTGTCTACAAGTCTATAATTTAGTACCTTTGACCAAGAAACTGTGTGTGGTTTTGTTTGTTTAATTTTTGTTTGTTCTTTGTTTGTTTGTTTTTTGTTTTGTTTTTTACTTCTATTATGATATAATAACCGTAAATCAGTGGAAGCATCTGAAAATTGAGGCATAGCTAAGGTAGTGTCCTGGTTTCAGTTAGAACAGAATTAATTTTCTTCCTAGTAGCTGGTGGAATTTCTACGACAGGTAGAAATGGCAGCTTCTTGAAATGCATCCTTCTCCTCAGCATTTTGTTATGTTGTTTGCCTATGTTAATGGATGTGGCGGAACAAGTACTGCTTTATAGTTTCCTTGCCTCCCCATTCTGTTACACTGTAGCAAACCAAAATCCTCTTTCTGTCTTACTTCTCACTTTTCTCAATTTCATCAGTAGTTATTAACTGTGGGTTTTGTTTGCGTGGCTATGCAGTACTGTTGATTTTTCTTCTTTCTTTATAGATTACTGAGCTATAGTTTTGTTTTCATCTAGCCAAGTAGAGACTATGTGTATTTCACCTGAACTCTGCATTGCCATAATCTTTGAGTTAATTCACTGCAAAACCCTGCTATGTTTAGAAAAGAGCTGATTAGTCCTCCTGTCTTGGGTTATATACTTTGTTAAAGGTGGTGATAGGCTTGCTAATATGCAGTTAGTCAACTCCTTCCTCCTAGACTTCTGCTTTTCAAATGAGCTAGTCTTCCTCTTAGACTTCTGCATTTCAAACCAAGCTGGTGAGAAAAAGAAATCAGTAAATTCTTCAACATTCCTTTCTTTGGGTATATTATATTAGAGTACATAATTTTACCTGCAAAATCCTTTACTTGTGCAACAAACTGAGGCTGGAGCTTGGATGTATGTACTGCTGAATTAAACTTGTCTGTCCACTTCTGTGTATTCCTCTTAAATTGAACTGCCTTTGATAGAGAAACGCTTGAGGATTTTTAAAAGCTTTTGCAAAGTCTTTTTTAAACATAGAGCTTTATTTTTCAAGCCTTATTGTTCATTTACAATAAAACTCTTTTTGGCTTCAAGAAACTTAGTTTTCTGGTCAGTCATGATGAGATTATATAACAGCCTTCAGTCAAGTGGTGTCCTCATTTGAAAAGAGTCTTCAGCTGTTGTTTAAATGCCTCTTTTGCAGTCAGCTGTGGATGTTTGTCCTAGTGCTGGTTTTGATTGGCTTTTCCCTTGGCATGAGTGCTATCCCAGTATTTCCAGAGATACTGCAGTGTGCATAGTAAGTAACTGTCTGACACATCTTCCACGTTTCTAACAGTAGGAAGCTCAAGCTGTAATTTCAGAGGTGAATGCAAAGTAGGTTTTGGTGTGGCCTTTTCCCACTTTTGAGACCAAGGCAGCGAGTAACAATTAAATATTTCCTCTACTCTTTTGTTTTCTGACTGAGCACCCCAATAAGGCATGGTCATTATATTTCAAATAAAATTTTGTAAATATGTACATCTGTGCTGCAGGCACAATGAATTGACTTTGTGTCATATGGGATAACCTGGGTGTGGTTTCATGTACATACGATTTATTTAGTAGCCAGCAACTTTCAATGGGTTTTTGGGCTGCGTTAACATTAACAGCTGCACGTAGAGGAATTGCACTTGCTCAAAATACAAGGTCTATGATTTAGCTTGGGAACAATGACCTAAAAGGATCTTGATTTACTGCTCCTTTAGAAACAAGGTCTTTTCTTCTTAAAAGCCACCTGTCATTGTTTTACACTTGCCATGTGAAATATGGGGACTGAGTGACGGTGTGCTGTTAGCAATCTCCCTCAGAAGACGTAAGAGATGAGAAGTAGCTCTGCAGTCCTCCAGAGAAACAGGAAAGAAGAAAGTATTGGGTAAACAGTCATGATTCTGGTGTACGCTTTTGCTTGTTAACTGTTCATGTTATGCATATTTAAAAGAAGGGAGAAGCTTTATAGGAGAAGAATATAGTGAGGTGCAGTGATGTATTGCACTACTCTAACTGGACTGTCTTTCTGCAGTGAGAATGGGTTTGAAGAAGGTCTGAGTCTGTTGGGGCTGGTGTCAGGGCTCTTCAGTGCCATGTGGTCCCTTGGGTAGGTATACAGTCACCTTTTTATAAGCTAGTAGTGCTTGCTTGTTCTGCACTATTGCTATGCGAAAGTGTGCTAATTACAAATAGAAGTTGCTCACCGCAGTCGTTGTATTGACCTTCATTCAAGAGGTTCTTGCTGAACAGGTGCATAGTGGACATGTGAAAACAAACCTTTTTATCCTAGAAAGGTAATGGCCTCTGACCTTGTCTTCTTTGAAATGCATTGACTTTCTTATCAGAAAGCTTCAGTGATTAAGTGGATGTTAACTTACACTTCTGTAAGGTCGTTTTGTTGCCAATGGATTTTTTAATTCACAATATAGACAGGGGTGGAGTCTGATTTATTTATTTTTTCCTCCTGCATTTGTCCTGGTTAGAATCACCTATTCTCTTTCAACCACAGCTGTTATTTGGGGTTTGTGTTTGCTTAGCTTAGCAGAGGGTGTCTGAGATTCTTACCCAGTGGTTGTCCTAGAAATGAGTGCAAGATGCTACCTTCTGAGTGACTTCTCTGAGTTGTCCCTCAGTGGGAAAAGAGTCCCCCTCTTGGCAGTCACTGTCAGGATGTTTTTTTAATCAGTCCTTCTAGTCCTCTGTGGGTTTCAATGGTATGTATTTGCACCATTTTTGTAAGCCAGCTGAAGCACTAGATGTCCTGTTTATTTGGTGTAGGGTTCAGTACAGATAAATGCAGCATAGTTTTAGCAAAACACAGTTTTCTGCTTCTATTAAACATGGTTTTATTATGGCTTGTTTCGAGGAAGTCTCTCTAGCTGTACAAAGTTTTGTCCTTTCCTGTAGCAAGTGTTGATATCACGTAAGATCTTTCATAAAGTGACAACAGCGGCATAACCTTTCATGGCACTGTTACACAGATGGAGGTGCAGGGATGTTACATAAAGCTCAGCTTTGTAATGACCACAGTAATGAGAACCACATCTGTTGCAGTGTGCCTTCCTACCTGCCTGTACCCATCAGTCTTCTGTCTTGAAGTGTGGAAGGTTTAAATTTTGAGAGACAAGGGTTTAAATTTCTTTTATGGTAGAAACAGTCTGTCTAGACACTTCGTTAGAACATTGTTTTTAACGGAGCCCCTAAGCCATCCTGGATATAGAAAAGAGTGCATTCTGCCCTCTGACATGGATCCTATCTCCAGCTGAGGAGGCAACTGAGAGGGTTTATTGGGGCCATGGCAAACAAAGAATTAATACTTACTGTGGATTATAGGCAAGTCAGGTCTATGGCAGACAACTTCTTTCTTGGCAGAGAATCAATGCAGGGAGGCCACAAAGTGCAATAAAACTTGTCCACAGAATATAATCTGTGTTTTTTTGTTTGTTTGTTTGGGATGCCACCACCTCATTTTGATTTGTTGCAGGGCATTTATGGGTCCCACTTTAGGAGGATTTCTAAATGATAAGCTGGGTTTTGAATGGGCCTCAGCCATCCAAGGAGGATGGGCACTGTTAAGTGTAAGTAATTACAAACATTTTGCTTTTTATACCTATTGTAATTAAGAACTATTGCATAAGTTTGTTGTTATTATGATTGTAACTGACTGTTTCCTCAAAGGGTCTTGCAATTGGAATATTCTATATTGCTGAGGCCACAAGACGAAGGTATGCAGAGATATTTTTCTTTATTTTATTTAAATCAAATCTTTGGAAGTTGTGCTTCCCTTGTTTCTTCACTATCAACCTAACAATGAGCAGTAAAAATATTGCTTACATACTTTGTCTCTATGCTTTACTAAATCCTCGCTGACCTAAACAGAGACCTGAACCTGGCAATGCCAGTTCTATACAAGCAACAGGACTGTGGCATTAAAGAGCAAACCCTACTTGTAGTTCCTCCAGGAGGATATCTGTGAGCTGTGTCTGTAGAAGTGTATGTTTCTGTGCAATCGTAGGGAGCCAAATTAAATGATCCAGGTAGCTTTTTCCACATTATGTGTGTTTATGTTATAATGTTAGTATTGCATAGAAATATCTAGAGAATATTAAACCTGTTTCTCCCCTACCGTTCTTTTCCTTCTGCAAACAGTTCGAGTTCCAGCCTGCAAAATCCTCCTGTTGATAATGAAGAAAGAACTCATCTGTTGGCTAGTGAAACATAGCCAGAAATTATTTTGGTTCTCCATTTACTGTTGTGGTTTAACTTCGTGTCTGAGATGAGTGGACTTTAACAGTGTTTCGTTATTCTGGAGACGTGATACACCTAGTGAACAGCCAGTTGTGGTTTACTTGGAGCTGCATCACTGTTTTGAAACACTAAACAATGACTGCCTTTCTTTTGGAGGTCCTCGTGTGGATTGGTTGCACTGATGAGTAACCCTCAGCTGTTGGCCTCTTTAATTGTATTCCATATGCAGTGTACCACTGTATGTGAAGAGGTGCATTTTCAAATGTCTGGCTTCTGTGCATTATTCTTGGATAAAGCTACTATTTTGCTACTGTGATTTTTCTATATTTTTTAGAAGAAAGGTTATCTTGTAATACTTTAACTGATACATAAAATGTTGAGACAGCATTTGAAATGACAAAGCACTTAAGCACAATACTGTTTTCAATAAAGCAACTTTTTTCCTAAGTTTTGTGAATTTTCTTGGAAAGGAACAGTCTTTGTGTACCAGCAGTTGCATTGTATGAGTGTCTGAAAATGGGAAGCAAAGGTAATGAAGAGAAGACATAGCATCTCCACACAGAACTGATTTTCAGTCTTGAAGGAGACAGTGCACTGTGTGTGTGTGTATGTACAAACATGGTCGTATTATATACGAAGACTTAGTTTGGTCTGCGAGAGATCCGTTTTGCTAATAAATGCCATCTGGAATATTTGTACTAAATGACTCTGCAACAGTAAATCTATGAGAAGTTAGGGCTACTATTTCCCAACAGAGGAAAAAAAAATATCTGCCCTTCCTCTAGATGCTTAGCACAAAAATTTTCTCTGATAGCTGGCTGAACTGTGAAGCATTAGGGTGCAAAGAGCAACCTTCCTCTAGGAACATCCTGGCAGTAGCTCTGTTTCCTTTTGTATCCTTTTTGAGATCCAGAGTGTACTGCTCAGCCTAGTATAAAATGCCAGTCCTGCGCGTGCTGACGGTGAGGCAGGTACGAAGGAGCTGAGAGAACCAGTGGAAAATGCCAAGTGCATAAGGTGCAAAGCTGTAGAAATGAGCTTCATTAGCTCTGCTGTGGAATTACTTGTTTACTTACCTGATCTGTGCTGCTAGGACTTAAGTGGCAGGAATTACCAGAACATAAATATCAATGAAATTAACGAGCTGTCCTGCAACTTGTGAGCTTTGCCAGCAGTCCACTAGAAATTGGTCAGGCTTAACTAACTGCTCTGGCACTACATTTTCTCTTCCTTCTTTCACGTATACAGTGGAGGTAAAAACCTGAATTGGGATCCTGTTTTCCAGATTCGTTCTTCAGATCAACTAATTCACAAGCATGGTCTCCTGCCATGATGGTCTAGGGGTCCAGAAACCCTGGTTAAAGGAGAACAGGGGGGTCTCCTATGGGAGACTGAGCACTCCCACAGCCCGTGCTGTGCCTGTCTCATCTGATGGCAGGTCTCAATACCCAGTTTGCTTTGCTAACAGCTGCACGGTCTGTGAAGCTGTGAATAAGTGCTGGGTATAGCCACACAGCTAGATCCAAGCAGCCCTGAGCCACTGCGGTGCCCATGCAGCAGCACCGGCCTCAGGGCCAGTCCCCAGCTGCACCCTACAGTTTGCCCAGCAATGTCTGTGCTGAGATTTCCCAAACTCCTCTGGCTTTCTTCCTCCTGTGACCTGGACTTGCCTTCAACTTATTTCAGTAATGCCGGGCCTGAACACTCGGTGAATCTGGCCGGCAATGCGTTTCTTCAGCTGCAGCACAGCGGCGACTTCTCTGTCGGTGGTGTAACCATGGGGCAGGATTGCTCAATGCCTGTGGCTCTCTGGCCTTTGATGTTTGAGTCTTTGGGGACACCGTGATTGCATCGCATGGTGTCAGCTTTCTGTCGCTCCGGGGAATTCCCAGGTTTCTGCAAGACTTTCCCTATTAAAGTCCCCTGGTTTTGCTCCCCCTGTCCTCCTCTTGGGTGACTTCCAGACTTCAGGTATGGGGTTTTTGAGAGCTCGTGCCTCTGCTGTGGTTTTGGTGCTGTCTGCTCTTGAGGCCTGGGCCCTGGACAGCTACATTGCAGCCGTCTATGAGCACAGTGTGCTCTTGTCAGAGGACACTGAAAAACCTACTTCTCCTGAGGAGGCTTTGATGCTGATGGACAGAAACATGGATGTTTTGGAAGTGGCCATCAAAGAAGCAGCCAGACAGGTATTATGACCTAGAGACATGGCTTTGTTAAATGTTCATCATTGATACGGGGGGGGAGGGAAACATTCTTTGTTTTTGTATGTTGGTACTAGGGTGCCCACATCGTTGTGACTCCTGAAGATGGCATTTATGGCTGGGTGTTCACAAGGGAGACGATATACCCTTATCTTGAAGGTATTCCAGACCCACAGGTGGACTGGATTCCATGTGCTGATCCTGAAAGGTATTGTCTCTGCTGTGCGAGGGGGAATGGTCCGGTGGGAAAAGCAGCTATGTTTAGCAGTGCTAATGGTCCAAGACATTTAAAATTATACACAACTGCTGTGCGAGGAAGGCAGGTTAGACATTGTATAGTTGCCATCAGTAGCTTCAGACAGCTTCCTTTGTCGTTTTTCTCCACAGGTCTTTCTCACTTTAATTCTTTTGGGTTTTTGGTAGTATACTTATGAAAGCCAAGATTTATTTAAAAGTAAAATAAATAAATAAAACAACAAACAAATAAAAAGGCTTGCAGATTTTACTATTTCATAATGCATTCCATGCATGCTGTAGAACGTTTCTGTGATTCTATGTTTGAGATTTAGGAACATTACAAATATTTGTGAATAAAATAACTGCTACTATTCAAAGCTTATTCTGCACTATTTTAGATTTATATTTTTTTAATCTTGACCCTAAGTGAACAAGAAGTATGACATGGTGGCCTTTTTATTCTGTTAACGTATTTTATTTCCATCAAATTAAAGCATAATCAGTTCTTCTTAACATCACAGCATTGGAAAGGGGAGGAAGGCAAAGTTTTATTTTCCTTAATAAATCACACCATTTTTTGAGACTTATGAGGAGCAACTGAGGAAATTGGGGTTGTTTAGTCTGGAGAAGAGGAGGCTGACCGGAGACCTCATCGCTCTCTACAACTGCCTGAAAAGAGTTTACAGTGCGGATGGTGACACTCTTGAACATGAGGAAGCAGCCTCAGATTCCAGCAGGGGAGGTTTAGACTGGTCATTAGGAAGAATTTCTCCACAGAGTGGGTGCTTAGGCATTGGATCAGTCTGCCCAGGGAAGTGGTGGCCCCCCCATCCCTGGTGGTATTTAAGAGATGTGCAGACATGGCACTGAGGGACTTGGTTTAGTGATGGGACTCACCAGATGTCCTGGATGATCCAAAAGTTTTTTTTCCAACCTAGATGGTTTCATGATTCTGTGATATGGTGAAAGGTAATGGAACACAATGCAGAAGAAACAAATCCTGAGCAATGTCAAGATGGCAGCTGAATCAAGAAGTGGAGCAGAATGCTGAGATTAGCCCTTATGTCGCTGTCACATCAGTGCTCTGCTGCACAACAGCAGCAGAAGGGAGAATTAGAGGGTGCAAAGATTTGCTTTCACTGTGAGGAAACTGCTGTGTTCCTCAGTTTTTTGACGTGAGATGAAGCCAGAGTTTCAGCATCCTAAATTTTGAAACAAAAACACTGTGTCCTGTTTAATAACAGAAAACAACTATATTGTATTAGGAGTACCTTACTTAAACCTACTGTTGTGATCTGTAGCCTTATTTTTGGCGTTTATACCAATTCACTGGTTTTGACGCCTTATTTCCTTCCTTACCTGCTGCTTAGATTTGCTCCTTCACCAGTGCAGAAAAGACTGAGCTGCCTGGCAAGGAATAACTCCATCTATGTGGTTGCAAATATGGGAGACAAGAAGCCGTGTAATTCCAGTGACCCAAGGTGCCCAGCTGATGGTCACTACCAGTACAATACCAACGTTGTCTTTGATTCAGAAGGGAAACTGGTGGCTCGTTATCACAAGGTAAGACAATTCTACAAAGTTTAGGAAGCATATGATCCATGGGCGATTGAAGATTTGGAACAAAGGCTACTTCCCAGGCTTATGTGTATTTGTACATAGAGTCGTTATTTAGCGGGTTTCACATGTGAGTAAAAGTCACTGCCTTAAGATACCTTCACTCCTGCTATTCTGAAATTAATAGAAATTAATTAAATGAAATTAATTAAACTCAGACCTCTGTTTTTACTGTTTCTCAGTAGGAAGTGACACATGAAATATTAAAACTTAAACATCCTAAATTCTTGCTAACTAAATACAAATCCCCTTCGCTGGTGTAAATCAGAACCACAAATATTTGTGCTTAACTACTCTTACAATGGTAAGAATTCTTTTAAAAATTAAGTAGTAACATGTCCACAAAATATATTCTCCATTATTTGTATTTAAGTGAATAAGTATTGTAATGAATATTATTCTGAATCAAATAATTTGATTTCTAATGTTTTGTTTTTGTTTTCTCATTTCTTTCTTTCCACAAACAGTATAACCTTTTTGTGACAGAGAAACAATTTAATTATCCCAAGTATCCAGAATTTGTGACTTTCAATACATCCTTTGGATATTTCGGCATTTTTACTTGTGCAGACATACTCTTTCATGACCCAGCTGTGGTCCTGGCAAGCAGATTTCAGGTTGACACAATTCTATTCCCAACTGCTTGGGTTAATACTCTTCCACTTCTGTCGGCTGTCCAGTTTCACTCAGCATGGGCTATGGGAATGGGTGTCAACTTTCTTTCGGCAAATACACGTAACTCCACTTTAGATATGACAGGTAATGTGATACTGGTCTAATTGACCGTGTTCATTTGGATAACATTATATTTATTATATCTACATAGTCCATTTGACCTGGGCTGAAATACCCATAAGCTTTAGGCATGCATGTGTATGCCAACAAGATTATCACAGAATCATTGAATGGCTCAGGTTGGAAGAGACCTTAAAGATCATCTAGTTCAAACCCCCCTGCCAGGGGCAGGGACGCCACCCATGAGATCAGGTTGTGCAGGGCCTCATCTAACCTGGTCTTGAACACATCCAGGGATGGGGAATCCACAACCTCTCTGGACAATTTGTGCCAGTGCCTCACCGCCTTCTGAGTGGATTAGGACAATAGAACTTGTACAGATAAAGAGGAAATCAAAATATGATAAGTAAGAGCTCAGAAATGTTTTAAGATAGCTGGAACACCTTTAGTTTGTTAAATGCGTAGTTCTGAGATTTAACGCGTGTGATTCTACATCTTCTGACCCAGACCTTGGTGTTATCTGTGTTTTGTTAGTGCGAACGGCCAAACTCTTTTCCTCCACTAGGTGGAAGCCTAGTGCTGAGAAATGCTCTTGTAAGTCTTGCAAATATTGCTTCTGGACTGGTGATCTTGTGAAGTTTGCAATGTATAGTTTTACTGAACAGATGGTAGAAGTCAAGCGCAAATTTAATGCTAGTTGTTAATTCTAACAAGTGAGAGAAATATGCTGGTGTTGCTGAAAAGCATCTTCGAACTTTGCTTTCCAAATGAAAGCAAATATGGGCCATTACTGTTGTCAGTCATTGATGATCCTAAGATAGATCATTCGTATTCTTTATGGATAGGTTTTATTCTGGGATTTAAAGATGCACCTGTGTAAATAACTTGCATAGAAGTGTGACTTTTGGTGATTTCTTTTCCTCACAGGATTGTTTTGAATTGACAGCGTTACAATTCACTTTAATCAGAAATACTGATTTCTGATGAAATGATTTCCTCTCTTCACGAGGAATATGTATTTTCAACCTCTTAAATCCTGTATAACAGCATAGTGCACTAATCTTGTCATTTACAAGAAACATCAGAGTTTGGTCTACATTCTGCTGATTGCAAAAAGCATTAGATCAGGATTGTAGTGTATGAAGGCTTAATTTAGTTTCAGAAGAGTCTGGTAAACATTAGAATAAAGTCTGGCACATGTTCAGTTAGTGAAGACTGCTTCCTTGTACCATAAACACTTGCTTTCAGATTGCTTCCTGGTTTTGTGTGTTTGCAGGGAGTGGTATTTATGCCCCAGATGGTCCAAGAACATATTATTATAATACTGAAACAGAAAATGGTCACCTACTTGTGAAAGAGCTGAGTTCACATCCACGTCGGTCTCCTGGCTATCCTCCTGCCGTTAACTGGAAGTTGTATGCCAGCAGTATCAAATGGCTTCCATCAAATGACCACTATTTCAGTGGTGTCATTTATCATGATCTCTTCTCTTTCACTGAACTCACTGAACCTGAGGGAAATCGTGCTATTTGCCAGAAGGACCTCTGTTGCCACCTGAGTTACAAGATGACAGAGAAGCAGAAAGATGACATTTATGTTCTAGGTGCCTTTGATGGACTACATGTTGTTGAAGGAGAGTATTATCTGCAGGTAAAGGTTTTCTATTCTTATTTGGACAGGCTAGAATGTTCTTTTTGCTGCCCCTTTGCATTTGTCCCATATTTGATTGAGGTGGTTCAGAAGGAAGCATTTTTATGCCCCTCTCAAAACATTTGTTTTCTTCATGAGGTATTTTGACTTTGTTACTGACGTTGATCCTGCCTTTCTGTGTATATTATAAATTATGAAAATCCAGACTGAGTTGTCTCCTATGCTCTAACACTTCAAGGTTTCCATATATGTGTACAAAAGGGAGAGAAGATGTAAGAGATCTCAGTGTCTTCATAGGGATGCTCATGTCACAAAAGAGAGACGTGGATTTTGCCATTGTGCTGATGGTATTCTCTAATGTGCAATTATCTTACAAAATGAAGAAACTAAATTACAGATATAACCTTTGCATCCAAATGGCTTGTCAGTATATTTGTCAGGTTCTTTTAAGTTTTGCAGTTAGACTTTTTGTTAATATTATATCTTGTCTGCTTCTTTCTAATTAACTGTAATTTTGATCATAATTTCAATCAAAATATTAAAAATCCAACTCCTGATTTTTTGAAAGCTTACTGGTACTTTGATTTTTCTATATCCTCTCACCACAGGTATGCACACTGCTCAAGTGTAGGAGCACAGACCTGAGCACGTGTGGACAGCCGGTGGAGACTGCACAGACCAAGTTTGACATGTTCTCCCTCAGCGGCACGTTTGGCACTAACTATGTCTTTCCAGAGATCTTGTATAGTGGAGTGCAGCTGGCCCCTGGGGAATTTGAGGTACTAAGATACCATTGGGAGTTATCAGCCCTGTAAAACAAATAGTTAAAAAGCCACTGTGAGACATGGAAGCAACTTGGGAGATATCACTGTCCTCAGTTTCAGTAATTGGCCTGAGTACAGCAACTGCATTTCACAATTCTCTTATCACTTGAACAAATAACTGGAACTCTTATGGGCTGTCAGGAAATTCCCAGATCCGCCCATATTTACCCCCAGTTCTCCTAGAGTAAAATCTTTCCCAAGACAGAATTGGAATGGCCTCAAACACGGTAGCTCCATGTAAAAGACTCATATATGCCTTGCTTTGTCTTTTTTCTAAGACTTCTCTCAACTTTTTTCTAAGACTTCTCTCAACAATCATCAATGAATGTTACTTTGTGCTTGTCATACAATAATATTACTTTGTTTATGTTCCCGTTTACTGTACTTTTCCATAACTAGGTACTAAGTGATGGACGTGTGATAAGCCGGACTGGTACATCTGAGCCAGTTTTGAGTATAACGCTCTTCGGGAGATGGTATGAAAAGGACCCCCCACACACAGAGCGAGCTTCACCATGATTTCACTGCAGATGCTTTAAGATCTTATCTGCTTGTTTCTAATTAATCATAATATTAGTTAATCGTAACATTAATGTTAATGCTAATACACATAATTGTAATGGCGTTCTGTTTCTCAGGTTGCACTAACAACATAGCCATTGCACATTGATTTGTTTACTTAATTTCGCAACAAAAATAAATTACTCTGCTAGACAGTTCTGTATCTGTTTTTATACGATAGCTTTGGATTGTCATAGGCTTGACCTTTATCCCACTGGGAACAAGAGACATAGAAAATAAAGTCCACTGGCTTTAGTGGTATGGGATACAGACCCATAGTAAAGAGGATTTTGAACTGTTCAGGACACTGGTAGGGAGGGTCCCTTGTGAGTCAGTCCTGAAGGGCAAAGGGGTCCAGGAAGGCTGGATGCTCCTCAAGAAGGAAGTCTTCAAGGCACATGAGATGGCTGTCCTCATGTGCTGTAAGATGAGCTGGTGGGGAAGAAGACTGACAAGACTGAACGGAGAGAGTACGAGGAAGTTGCTAGCATGTGCAGGGACAAAATCAGGAAGGCTAAAGCCAGACATGGGCTCAACCTACCACTGTTTTTACAAATATATTATTATTATATTATTATTATACAAAAAACATTTTTACAAATATATTAACAGTAAGAGGAGGGCCAAGGAGAATCTCTATCCCTCACTGGATGCAGTGGGGAACATGACTACTGAGGATAAGGAAAAGGCTGAGGTTCTCAATGCCATCTTTACATCTGTCTTTAATAGTCAGACCACTTATCCTTGGGGTACTCAGCCTCCTGACCTGTCTGCAGTGGGGAGTAAAACAAACCCCCCATGATTCATGTGGAAATAGAGACCTGCTGCTCCACCTGGACTGTCACAAGCTATGTAATGGATACAACGGAGGTAATGGAAAACACTTTACTTGTCGTGGAAAAAAAGTATTCTGTCTCTGCATGTGTGTGTACACCCCTGGACACAGTGTCCTTTTACAGCCAAGCAGCACAGCACTGTGCTGGTCTAAAACAGGAGAGGGGGCTGATCTCAGCCTGGCCACCTGACCTGGCTGCTCTGCCAGGGTTGTGTGGTTTCAGGTGTGTCCCTTCACACAGGTTTTTCCATGCAAAGATTAGCACATGAGGAGTCATTTTCCAGGCAGCTTCTCTCAGCACAAGGAGCAGGACCACGATCTGAAGATGCACTGCCTCTTTGGCTAAGCTGACAGCACCGAATTGCACCCTGTGTCACCAAAGGAAGTCCTCAGGTAACCGCTGTCCTCACACGGTAGCAGGGAAGGAGGAGAGTGGGCTGGGAGAATGGAGGTGTGAAAAACAGAGGGAGATCTAAGATAAACATCCTCTCACAGTGCCCGTAGTTGTGTATAGCCTGGACTGCTGTAGTTTCGCAGGGGGTTGACTCAGTGGATATGTAGGTGATTTATTTATTTTTAACCCGGGTTAGTTCCTTGGCGCTGGGTGAGCTCCCAGTTCTGCAGGCAGCCGGCGGTGGTGCCTGCTGGCCCAGGCCCAGACACCCAACGTTGCTGTAGAAACCCCATTCTGGCAGGCCGACTTCAGCTGCGTGCCTCTATGCCTGCCTTGCTGCAGTAGTCACCCTTCCAGGCTGAATGTTTTCGTAGCTCTCCCTAAACACAGCAGAGTTTACCACTTCCTCCTTCAGACTTACGGCTCACTGCAGTTAACGAGACCCAGACAGGTTTCATTTGTTTGGAAAATCAGAGCAACAACAACAAAGTCTCCCAAGCTACATTACTTCAATTACCACTAACATCTCCACTGCACCCTTTTAAATGCTCATATTTAAGGCTCACAAATGTGCCTTGTGTCTTATCTACCAATGCACATAGAGAAATACTTAATGGTGAATGTTAGTAGGTGCAAGTTGATATTCTTAATGCTTGAAGCCATTGGTCAGCACTGCTCTTGCAGGGAACTCTGGTGCTTGCATTCACCCACAACATCTGATATTCTGTGATTCTATGATTTCTGCTCCTCTTAGGAGATGGTTCTGCAATGGTAGCAGGACATAAGCAGGCAGTTTGCTCTGCTCCGTACTATTATGGAAACCTTTTCTAAATGAGAATGCTGCAACTATTAGAATGTCAAAAAAAAAAAAAAAAAAAGGAAAATGACATAAAAAACACATTGGAACTGAAGTCAAAGATTAAAAATGAAGACTGCTTTGATCAATAAACAGAATGATCCCAGGGTGAGGATGGGTGAGCCGAGGAGCAGGAATGCTGTAGTGCGGGATAAACTGCCCTGACCTCTGCTTCAGGCATGTGGTGCCAGACAGTGAGGCACGTGGATAACAGGCTGGCTGGTGGCTTACCTGCCTGATTTCAGGGGCAAACATTCCCTCTAGGTGCATATTTGCTGGTGACAGGCTATTGGAAACACGTACAGCTAAAGAGAAGCAACTGGGAGAGCCTCTGGGATAAATGCGAGGGACAGGTCTGTCACTGTCACATTAGGTACATGACATTTAAGTGCAGTGAGATGATAATGTAATGACTCCGGTCTAAAGAAACTCTGGGATGCAAGCTGCAGATAATGGCACCTAGCACAGGAAATGAGGAATGTGATGACACTTGAATAAAGCAAACAGTTCTTAAGGTCTTCAGTTTTGCCACGACAGCTCCAGAGGTGGTGGTGGTTTTTATAAATACATAAACACAAAAAGGAGGACTAAGGAGAATCTCTGTCCTTTACTGGATACGGGAGGAAACTTAGTGACAAGAAATGAGGAAAAGGATGAAGTGCTTAATGCCTTCTATGCCTCAGTCTTCAGCAGCAAAAACAGTTGTTCTCTGGATACCCTGTACCCTAAGCTGGTGGAAGGAGGTGGGGAGCAGGATGTGGCCCTTGTAATCCACAAGGAAATGGTTGGCAACCTGCTACAGCACTTAGATGTACGCAAGTTGATGGGGCTGGACCCGAGGGTACTGAGAGAACTGGCGGAAGAACTGGCCAAGCTGCTTTCCATCATTTATCAGCAGTCCTGGCTATCAGGGGAGGTCCCAGTTGACTGGCGGCTAGCAAATGTGACACCCATCTACAAGGGCCGGAGGGTAGGCCTGGGAAACTATAGGCCTGTCAGTCTGACTTTGGTGCTGGGGAGGCTTATGGAACAGATTATCTGGAATGTCATCATGCGGCACTTGCAGGGCAACCAGGCAATCAGGCCCAGTCAGCATGGGTTTATGAAAGGCAAGTCCAGCTTGACGAACCTGATCTCCTTCTATGACAAAATTACGTGCTTAGTGGGTGAGGGAAAGGCTGTGGATGTGGTCTACCTTCACTTCAGTAAGGCTTTTGACACCGTTTCCCACAGCATTCTCCTCGAAAAACTGTCTGCTCACGGCTTGGACTGGTGTACACTGTTGTGCCCTACACTTGGGGCACAACAACCCCAATCAGCAATACAGGCTGGAAGATGAGTGATTAGAAAGCTGCCTGGCAGAGAAGGACCTGGGAGTATTGGTGGACTGGCTGAGTACGAGCCAGCAGTGTGCTCAGGTGGCCAAGAAGGCCAATGGCATCCTGGCTCGTATCAGAAACAGTGTGACCAGCAGGGCTACGGAAGTGATTGTCCCCCTGTACTCGGCTCTGGTGAGGATGCACCTCAAGTACTGTGTTCAGTTTTGGGCTCGTCACTACAAGACGGACATTGAGGTGCTCAAGCGAGTCCAGAGAAGGACAACGAAGCTGGTGAGGGGTCTGGAGAACAAGTTTTACAAGGAGCGGCTGAGGGAGCTGGGCTTGTTTAGGCTGGAGAAGAGGAGGCTCAGGGGCGACCTTATCACATTCTACAGATACCTTAAAGGAGGCTGTAGCGAGGTGGGGGTTGGTCAATTCTCTCATGTGCCTGGTGACAGGACGAGTGGGAATGGGCTAAAGTTGTGCCAGGGGAGGTTTAGGTTGGATATTAGGAAGAACTTCTTTACCGAAAGGGTTGTGAGGCATTGGAATGGGCTGCCCAGAGAAGTGGTGGAGTCACCATCCCTGGAGGTCTTCAAAAGACGTTTAGATGTAGAGCTTAGGGATATGGTTTAGAGGAGGGCTTACTAGTGTTAGGTCAGAGGTTGGACTAGGTGATCTTGGAGGTCTCTTCCAACCTAGATGATCCTATGCCTCTGTATCCACTTTTACTTGGGTGTCAGAGTTGAGCAAAAGTGTGTTACAATCAATGACAGAAAAAGTACAACAGCAAAAATTGAGCTGTTCTTTTCAAGTAGTGTTTAATAATATACTTTCATATTGGCATTATTACTCTTGGCATTAGCCACAGTTCCGTGACTGCCTGTGTGCTCTGCCAACTCTTCAGTCTGAGTTGCGACATCCTCACCTTCTGATGTTGTGATGTCCTACTTTTCTGTATGTAACAAGAGACATTTGATTACAAGGTAATGCTTTAACTGGCCAGTACTTCCTCCCTCCCTTATTTAAGTTAAACTTTGACCCTTCTTTCTTTTCTGTGTATGCTTCCTTTTCGCCGCTTGTCTGTGACTCAGAGCATTCAAACAATTGCCAGGCAGCAACCATGGTCCCTCCTCGGCCTGTAGTGCACGCTGCAGTGTTTGCCCTGGCAGCCCTGCAGGCCCTGGCCTCAGACACCTTCATTGCGGCTGTGTACGAGCACGCCGTCATCCTGCCACGTGCCGCTCAAGAGACAGTTTCTCCTGAAGATGCTTTGGCCCTGATGAACAAGAACATGGACATCTTGGAAGGAGCCATCAAGGAAGCAGCCCAGCAGGTACGAGATGTATCCCGAGTGGTGTTAATCGTGTGTTCTCCTCCCACTGACACCCCCCCCACCCCTCCCCAGGGATGCATTGATGGAGACTTCTTAACGGAGCCTCTTCTGCCAGGGCGCACACATCATTGTGACTCCTGAGGATGGCATTTATGGCTGGGTTTTCACAAGAGAAGCCATCTACCCGTACCTGGAGGACATTCCCGATCCAGAGGTGAACTGGATTCCCTGCACTGATCCCACAAGGTGATTCCTTCTGCAGCTGTTTGTCTGGTTTTAAGCTGGTGTCCTGTGGAGTTGTGAGCTGTTCCTAAAAAATGCCTAGGAACTGCTAATGCTTTTGACATCAGGCAAGTTTCAGTTTAGTTGCATATCATATGAAGGTAAATCACAACCTAAGATTGACAAGGGAAACCTTTTAAAAATATTTTAATTCAAAAAGAATTAGAGTTTAAAGACACTTTAAAGAGGTATTAAAAATATACTGAATTGGAGATTGGAGTTGCTAAATGTAGACAAAACCTTTTTTTTTTTTCCATTTGGAAAAGCTTTGATTCCAGAATATGCTGCTTCTTGTTGATTTTCATTTTTTCCACGTTGTTTTGAATGGAACTAATTGGAAATTTTTAATGCTAGTTTTTGATTTGTTTTGTTGGTTTGTTTATAAATGCTGCATTCATATAAAAGCACACATACTGTTCTTGTGAAGAGCTGAAAACTGGTTTCTGAAAAGCTAGTAACAGAGGTGATGAGGTCACTAGTCAAAGTCAAAATATGCAAGTGATACAAACACAGAAAGTTTTAATCTTATTTTTCACAATTACAGTAAGGTAAAGTCCTAATTGCTAGACTCTCTTTGCTCTAGAACATGATATGTCACTCAAGTGTCATGTTCTAGCAGGACTGTGGTAACATGAAGTTACCACACTGCACACTGGACTTTAGGCTCATACAGTATGCAGTAAGTGCTCAGTCACAGAACTACAAACATGGTCTGGCTTTTGCAATGCAGCTTTCTTCACCTGCTCAAAGATGAAATGCTAGAACCATGGTGTGACATCTGTAATAAGATTCCTCAATGGTCCCAAGAGGAAGACTCACAATGGAGAATGTGTGCTGGGAGAAGTGCAAGATGCGCAGCTTTTTACTGAGACATAAATTAACTAAAATATAAAGAGTCTTTCTCAGTAAGTGAGGTGTGGGGGGGTAGCAACACGTCTAAGCATGTCTTTATTCCAGTTCCTCAGTTAGGTTTTGTGAAGGTGATGTCTGTATCTTTCCACTGTCCTAAATCAGGTTTTTCATCAGCAGCCTTGTGCGTAATGCCTGCCATCACATTCTGGCATGCCCTATTCCTTAGTGCTCCCTACATAACTGGCATAACAGTCCTTCTGCATGGTCCATCTCATGTATGACCTTTCACAAAACAACGGTGATGAGCATGCCCTCCCCCAGCCCCAGGATTATCTACTCTCT